TATAAAAGACAAAGTGACGAAATATACTTTTTAATCAAATGGTATCATATGATTTATTAGGTACATTATGTCATATACATGTAGCTCTGTAACTGTTTCGGTTCTTATACTAAGTACATCCTCGGCTTTAAAATATTCGGCTTTGATCGTTCCTGATGAAGGTAAATCCAGAAAAGTGCTTCAAACTCATGAAATTAATAATGTGTTGTTTTCATATTTCCTATTATATATTTTTTTTCATTTTCTGTCAAAGTCTCAATCTACTGTGAATTCTACTCAGTTTACTATTGTTTAAAGCAATTCATTATCTGGTCATTTTTATGTTACAGTTCAATATTTATTTTTACCGTAACACCTGCCCATCTATGAAAATTAATTAGAACATATGTCCATAAACAAAATTTAAGTGTAAAAATGTGAGTAAACTAGATCTATAAGGTCAAACAAATTAATAGAACGACAACATTGAAATGGAGACTTGCCTTTTGACTATCTCTATATTATAAAGTTTTGATTTTTTGTCGATTGATTGTTTACCCCACATCTCCTTTTAAACGAACCTAATTAAAATATATATCTCTGATTTCGTTATACTCATAAGATACGAGCATGCGAGTAAATATAGATATAAGGTGCTGCTGGAATGTTGCTACATAGAAAAGAAAAGTTCACAATTGGAGGCTGAAATCATCTCCTTTGTCGTAAAGTTTTGTTCTCAACCGACCAAGTATGTTGCTATTGATGAGTTTTTAATGACAGATATTGGTATCTCTTTCTCAATAACGCGTGAACATCCGGGGGTTTCACCCCCAACCAGGAGGTCCACTGTTCTGGACCTCAAACCCCTCGATGAGGTTCGGGCGTACACTTAAAAATGGCCTAGCTACGCCACTGTTTACTGAGATCTTGTTACTTAAGCTTTTAATTTGGATGTTTTTGATGTATAGAAAACAAACAATATATTATCATTTAGACTGTTTAACTTACACTAAAGACTTAATTTGTGTGTTGATGATGTTATTATATGTATCTTTTGTAAAACAAATATTTATTTGATAAAGATGAGTAAATCACGTGCTATATTTTCACAAATTGTGAGAAAAAGAACTAAAACAACAGATCAGTAGCGTTTTTTTTGTAGTGTACTTATAGGTTTCATCAACCCACAAAACTTAGATAGCAATATTTCTCAGCAATGTTGCATGACATTTCATACCAATTGTATATGTCCATGGTTTTCAAAAAGATAACGCCAAAAAAAATCTTTTCTTTTAAACATATCTGGTTAGAAACCGTACTGATTGTAGAAGACATTACTTCCGAGAGAGATATTGATGGATTGTCTTTTCCAATCTTATTAGACTCAGATCTATCGTATTTCGCGTACTAGTCGAAATCTTATGAGCATAAGGAAAGATATCTTTATTTTAATTAGATTATTTCTTTTCGGGAATATATTCGCCGTACTTGCCACGGCTCGTGCTCTTCCTTCAGCTTACGTGCTGTGCTGTTTTTCGTCACTTTTTTTAACAAATTTAATTTCTCTATCCAAAAGTATTGGAAATATCTCCCCTTTTCCCTCAAATACACATTCAGAGCAAATTCGTTCAAACAATCGGTATTTGCCCTTCGCGGATCACAAGTGTACCGTGTACCGGATTGATTGGTAATACTTAGCAATCCAGGCGGTAAACGGTACATACACATTGTTAACTCTGTTTGGTAGATATATTTCTGTAATTGAAGGAAGCAGGATCAATCTGATTTTTATTACAGAAAAGATATAAGATATAAAAATATGAAGATGTGGTATGATTGCCTGTGAGATAACTCTCCACCAGAGACCAAATGATGTAGAAGTACAGGTCACCATACGGCCTTCAACAATGAGCAAAACACATACCGTATAGCAGGCTATAAAAGGCACCGAAATGACAAATGTAAAACAATTCAAACATGGAAACTAACGGAATGATTTATGTACAAATCAATAAACGAAAAACAAATATGATACTAGTATACAGCAACAAACGACAACAACTGATTTACGGGCTCCTTACTTGGGACATGCACATAAAGAATTGACGAGGATAAACATGTTTGCTGATGCCAAACCCTCCCCCCTAAACTTTGTCATTGGTGTAACAGTACAACATAAGAATATCATAAGAACAAACTATAAAAATCAGTTGAAAAGTGCTCATCAGATCGATAAAAAGCAGAAAAACAACTTACAAAAACACAGACCGTACGTGGCAGGGAATTTATTTATCCCTCACAACAAAAAAGGCACATAGTACAGATATGAGAGAACTCGCAGTTACTGTTATGTAGTTCAAAGCCAAAAACAACTAATAAAAAATCATGTTTCTATGATTAAAATATTGATCGGTACACATCCAACATCAATGGATTTAGTGTAAAGACGTCATTAACAGTCAGAGAAGAACATGACGTTGTGTAATGCCAAAAATAAATATGTATCGACAGATTGTAGAACCGTGAATGTACATATGTGTATAACAATACTATTTAGTAAGGTTTTAATTTTACTGATAACGAAATCAATATTTAATCAAATAAAAACAATATTCAAAGATCTAATTACAGTGTTCAACTGGTAACCTTAAAGAATAAGTTTATTTAAAGGAACGATAAGTTTAACCGGATCGTATCTAAATTTCCATGCTCGGAACACAAAATCACCGATGTGCTATCCCGTTTGACTAAGTTTTCTATAGGTACAGCCAAACTTCCAAACCAAATCTTTGTATCTATGGAAGAATTAAAGGTAAAGGTTATAAGTAATCCTTGACTTATTAATTTACCAGTAATACATATTTTACTTTCATTGAGATCCAAAACGTCACTACAGACACGGGCAGATGTTTGTCTATAATAAAAAGGTCAGCGTTACGTGCAGTCTCCAGATGACCATTAGTTTAAAGATTATATTTCCCTTATCCATAAAAAAAAAATGCCACGAGCATTATCTATATAAAAATAAGGAGATGATGTTTTGATTTCCAAAGAGACAAATATCCACCAGTAACCACTGACGAGATGTAAACAACTATAGATAACCGTTCGGTATTCAACACTGAGCAAAGTCCATACCATATAGAAAGCTTTTAAAGGCCCAACTTCTAAAATAGTTGAAACAATTTAAAAGAGAAAATATGGCAGACAGCAACCACCAAATAATAGGCTCCCGAGACACCATATATATACAGAATGTGGTGAGGTTAAGAATGTAAGTGAGCATCCTCCAATCCTCTGGCATAAGTTCTGCCTGTTTACACTATATATCACTTTTTCTACACCTCACACACACACACACACACACACACATAGGCACACACACACACACACACACACACACACACACACATAGGGAAGTAACGTGAGGTATTCGTATGAAATATAAAAATAAGGAGATGAGGTATGATTGCCAATGAGACAGCTATCCACCAAAGTTCAAAAGACGTGGATGTAAGCAATTATAGGCAACCGTACGGCCTTCAACAGTGAGAATACCCATACCGTCAAGTCGGCTATAAAAGGTCCCGACATGAAAAATATGAAACAATTGAAATGAGAAGACTAACGGGCCTAATTTATAACAAAATAATTTACGAAAAACAAATATGACAGACAAGAACCAACGACAAACACTGAACTACAGGCTCCTGACTTGGGACGGACACGTAAAGAATATGGCGGGGTTAAGCATGTTTAGGTCATTATGTTGTCATTTTCCTGTTGAAATTATATTCAATTGTTATTGTTCAATTGTTTAGTTTGACAAATGATGTTGACATTTCATTTTGCAGGTTTGATATTTGTAATATTTATAAAATGTAGCTATGATATGGCAAATATGACGTAGCATGATCTTCCATATGGAATGTCAATGTTATTTTCTAAAGTCGAATGAGAAAATCACAATTCGAAAAATATGTATATTTACTTAGTTTTTCCAAGCATTCCATAAACTTTTTAAGATCTGTTTCACGAATTTCAGATTCACAATATCTATTTTGCGATATTCAGACGCAGTTCCAATAGTTCTGGCCTGCATTAATACAGAATTTCACAAAAATCGGAAATAGCCTTAAAACATAATTAATTTTATTTTATTGTCCAAACATGTCTAACTGAATATATACCTTAGATACTATCTTAAAAGGGAGTGACTGGAGTTTTTATACTACAGAGAGGAAGCATTATAGTTCTGGATCATGATTTCATGATATGTCGCGTGTTTAGTGATTTGTATAAAAAGCTCTTAATATATATGTTTTAATCTTTTGGAACATGTTGTAGGTACAAAAACAGTTAAATCTATGCAAGAGAACAACATTTGAATACACAATGTATAAGTTTATCAAGCTATATAAAGAAAATCATCAGACCTTTTCTTCCTATACTCTTTAATTCAAACACATTATACGATGCTTTACTTATTACTAATCACTCTTTTTCGTGAGTTAAACAATTGCCAATGATTAAATAACGTTTTATTTCAAATAAATTTGTCATAAAAAAAATTAACTGAACATCATGTTAATTTCAAACCAAATCTGGAGCCGAAACCAATTCACTAGTGAAAACAGAAACAATTATTCCTGACTTTTCAAGTGAATGTTTATTTAAAAAAATCTTTCAATTTGCTATTTATAATCACCAGATCTCATTTTCTGTGGAAAAAATGATTTCTTATCGATAGTTTAAACACATGTAATGCATTAAATGTGTCATATGTATATATCATTGTCAAAACTAACAGCACGTTTGAATCGTGACTCACGAAGTATTGACCATGCAGTCAGGGTTTTGTCCATGTCAAAGGATTTTTAACCATGAAAACTATGTTCTAAGTATATGAAAATAAAAAACGAAATACGCGAGACAATAAATCTCCCTTATGCATACAGGGAAAACAACAACTAATATTTGCCAATGAAACGTAATTGCTTAAGATTTGTTTTTCATTTCAGATAGTTGAACTAACATTTGCTGGATCATGGTACAATTGGGGCGGGTGGAATGAATGTTCGAGATCATGTAATGGGGGACTGTCCAACAGGAGACGGATGTGTTACGGTGGTAACTGCATTGGAAACGATATTCAATACAGACTTTGTAATACTCGGGTATATATGAAACATATTTAGCCTTAGTTCATTTCATTCTAACTGTAATTCATCTCGTCTTGTCTTGTCTTGTCTTGTCTTGTGATTAGTTGATAGTTTTATACAACTGGAAGTATTTTCTTTCATTTTGATTAGTATGTGGCAAGTGTTCAATATTCATTTATTTCGATGTATTTTTCTTGGTGAGTTGAGTCGGATTTTTTAGTGCTAGTTCGAAAGGAAACAATGTGGACTGTGACATGTCACCCTACATTATTCAGACTCCGAGCCCACCAATCTTTGCTCTTACAACTAAATGCAACACTTTTAGCGGAGAAGCATTAACTATTTATCAAAGTATAAAAAAGTTCGTATATTGCTAAAGCCATGTAAGACTTGGTTCGGCCATCAACTTAAGAAAATATCTCACAGAGTTTTCGCAAGTAAAGTATGTTTTGGAGTTTAGTGAGGCGTTCATTTTGCTGAACTAGTATACATTATTGTTTAGGGACTAGCTGAAGCCCGATTCCGGGTTCGGGATTTTCTCGTTGCATTGAAGACCCGTTGGTGGCTGTTTTCTGCTCTTTGGTCAGGTTGTTGTCTCTTTGGCGCTTTCGTATAGCTCTTTAGATGTTTCGGTTTTTATATATCATTAGCTTTCAAATATTTGGCTTTTAGCGTTCCTGATGAAGGTAACTACGGTACAGAAAAGCGCTTCGGACGCATTAAATTTATAGCGTGTTGCAACTTGCTTTCATTTTTTCCCCGTTTCCATTCTCTATTTTATTATATATAAATAATTAATTGTAATAATTAATTGTAGAAATGTCCATCGGACGATCTTATGCCGGAGTATGAAGCTTGTCAGTCTTACTCCGGAATCACTGAATGGATTCCACGACAAAAGTACCAATGTTCTGTCTCCTGTGTCGGGAAAACTAAACAAATTCCAGATATGATCAGTATTAATTTGGCCGATGGTACGAAATGCAGTAAACATTCCAGTCACTATTGTATCAATGGAAAGTGTTTGGTAGGTTTATGTTCGGAAACAATATCTTGGTAAAATTCTTATATATCTTGTATTTCTATGGAAATATTGATTTTTTATGAACTGTATGTCTCTGTTTTTTCATAAATGCAGACAAATGACTAGTTGGTCGTAGCATTAAATATCAAATAAAAACATAGTATATGTATGTTTAAAGAAGAGCATAAACCGTTTATACATAAAAAAGTGAGAATCTTGATTGGGTAATAACTTTTTTCAAAATATAATGTTCCGCTTGCTGTCAATGGTGCCTTGTACTTTCATCTTGAGATCGTGACTATCAAGACATTACTAGATAGCATGTTTTAATAATAAGAAGATGGGGTATGATTGCCAATGAGACATATCTCCACCAGAGGTCAAAACCAAATAGAAGGTAAAAACTATAGATCACCTTGATCAACAATGAGATGGTACAGTTTTTTCTTTAATAAATTTCAAAGGCATAATTGGTCAATTACATGTGAGATTTAACTTAGAATGGTTAATTATATGTGAGATTTAACTTAGAATGGTTAATTACATGTGAGATTAAACTTAGAATGGTTAATTACATGTGAGATTCAACTTAGAACTAAATTCTTTTTAAATATGAAAATGAGATGTGATATGATTGCCAATGAGACAACTCTCCACAAGAGACCAAAAGACACAGACACTAACAACTATAGATCACTGTTCGACCTTCAACAATGGGTAAAACCCTTACCGCATATAGTCAGCTATAAAAGGCCCCGAAATGACACATGTAAAACAATTCAAACGAGAAAACTAACGGCCTGATTTATGTACAAAATAATGAACGAAAAACAAATATGATATACAGCAACAAATGACAACCACTGAATTACAGGTTCCTGACTTGGGACAGGCACGTATAAAATGCGGCGGGTTTAAACATGTTTCAAGGCACATGCACTAACCCTCCCCTAACATGGGACAGTCACGGGTCACGCATGAGCATGAGCAACACCACCTGTGCCTTTAGTGGAGAGAAACTGCTAATCCTTCCGGAGCATCTGAGTTAACTCCTGGTTTTAGTGGAGTTCGTGTTGCTCAATCTTTAGCTTCTGTGTAGGAATTTGTGGACTATTTGTTTGTCTTTTTGTAGTTTTCTTTAGTGGACATGGTATACTATTGTCTGTTCTTCTTCGACTTTTCTTCCTATTTATCGGACTATTCAGAAATAAATTACGCGATATTCAGTAGACTGTATTTTATAATTATTATATCCTGCTTTATAGAAACTTGGTTGTGATGGCATAGTGGGTTCTTCTAAAGTTGTCGATGATTGTGGTATCTGTGATGGCGATGGTACCCATTGTCAAGAACGAAAACCAACTCAGGACAAACATGTTTACCAATGGGACGTTCAGTGGACGTTTTGTTCTGTATCATGTGGCGTAAGTTAAATTCAATTATACGCAGGGAGCATCCGGGATTTTTTAAGGGGGCGTAATTGCAGATAACGGAATACGCCGAAAAAAAATATGCTAAAAAGAATATATTTTCCAATCAAAAGGAGTGGCGTACGCCGTCTACATCCCCTATTGAATCATCCAGTGACAAGATTGAATATTTTGAGGACAAATAATTTTTAACTTTACAAGAATACTTTTGCTGTTCTTTTTAAATAAATTGTTATGATTTCTAAATTTTGTGTTTATCTTTTGTGTTATGTGTTATAATATGTTTATTCCTATTGAAAGGGAAGGCTAATTAGGTACAAACTATTATAAATCTGCTACATACAAATACTACAGATTTAACGTTTCAACTGAAGACTTTGGACTTTTGTAGGGGCTGTTTGTAATTTATTAAACAGACCAATCAGACTAGTTTTCGTTTCTTTCAAAACTTTCATCTGTTTAAGTAAATGAGGGGCTTTGGTATCTTGACACAAAAGCTATTGAAATAGTATACTATTGTATGTATAGATAGTAGGCAAAGGAAAAATCGACCAGGAACGAAACACTAAATGAGAAGTATTTTAATCAATTGACTGAATTTGTTTTTTTACCACCCAGTGGCAGATATCTCATGTATATCTATGACGAGAACACTTATGGAAGAAATTGGTCTGTACTGTCTAGGAATTTGTAAATCTAAGTTACATATACTAAATGTTCTTGTGATTAAAAAATATGTCTATACAAAAACAAATAAAATAGGCAGTATTCTGATCTTGAAATAAACACTACTCATATAAAGTAATGAAGTATGAGCATTTTGATACTGAAAAAAACCAAAACCAAAACCAGTTACTTGATAACTGATTTTTTTAAGGGATAAAATTGAGAATGGAAATGGGGAATGTGTCAAAGAGACAACAACCCGACCATTGATCAGACAACAGCAGAAGGTCACCAACAGGTCTTCAATGCAGCGAGAAATTCCCGCACCCGGAGGCGTCCTTTAGCTGGCCCCTAAACAAATATATATACTAGTTCAGTGATAATGAACGCCATACTAAACTCCAAATTGTACACAAGAAACTAAAATTAAAAATAATACAAGACTAACAAAGGCTAGAGGCTCCTGACTTGGGACAGGCGCAAAAATGCGGCGGGGTTAAACATGTTTATGAGATCTCAACCCTCCCCCTATACCTCTAGCCAATGTAGAAAAGTAAACGCATAACAATACGCACATTAAAATTCAGTTCAAGAGAAGTCCGAGTCTGATGTCAGAAGATGTAAGGAGCTTACTAAAGTCTGTTCATTTTTGATTAGACAGGATTTCAGACATCCCGAGTGAGTTGCTGGAACATTAAATACAGCCAACAAGTTCCCGAATTCTACTGTAATTACAAAACGCAACCAACAGAAAGTAAACGCGAATGTTCGTCAGCAACATGCGGTCCACAGTAAGTGTCAAAGTACCATTAATTGTTCATTACTAGCATGCGGTCCATAGTAAATGTCAAAGTACAGTAGATTGTTCGTCAGCATCATGCGGCCCACAGTAAGTGTCAAAGTACAATATATTGTTCGTCATCATCATGCGGACCACAGTAAGTGTCAAAGTACAATATATTGTTCGTCATCAACATGCGGACCACAGTAAGTGTCAAAGTACAATATAGTGTTCGTCAGCATCATGCGGACCACAGTTAGTTTCAAAATACAATACTAGTATATGGTTCGTCAGCATCATGCGGCCCACAGTAAGTGTCAAAGTACAATATATTGTTCGTCATCATCATGCGGACCACAGTAAGTGTCAAAGTACAATATATCGTTTGTAAGCGGCATGAGATCCAAAGTAAGTGTCAAAGTACAATTGAATGTTCGTTAGTGGCATGCGATCAAGTATGAAATACGGTATTGTAGTAAGTATGGACGGATAAACATATTTAGATCAGTGATTCGGTTCTTATTTATTCTTTTATTATGTCGAGAAATGATCTTGTCAAAAGGTCGACACGTCAGCACGTCAACAGGTCGATAGGTCGACAAGTTAACAAGTCAACAAGTCAACAGGTCTATAGGAAGTGATTGGGTTAAGGTACGGGGTTAGGGTTTGGATTATAGGTAGTGTTAGGGTTATGGGATAGGTTTAATATTAGGGTAAGGCTCAAGTTTACGATAATGATTAGGTTAAGGGTTAGGGTTAGGTTAAGGGGTAAGATTAGTGATAAGAGTTTACATTCGTTAGCGGCATGTGATCCGTGGTAAGCGTTATAGTTCATTATCTGATTTCATACTTTAATTAATGAGTCTTTGCAGTTTCAGTATGAAGTAAAATGCCTTATAAGATAAAGTCTACGAAATATCGGTAATTATAAACTTTTAGAAACAATTAAAACAAACAAAATGGCATTTTTATTGTTTACACTAATTATAATTACTGTTTCCGTGATTTAACAGTTTATTCAGTAGTGTTGAAGAAATGATTAAAGTGATGTGCATGGGTCTTTTTAGGTGGAAAACTAGTTTATGGCAATCTTGTTCAGTTCAGTGTGGTGGAGGTTTTCAGAGGCGTAAGATTACATGTGTTCACACAACAGGAAGGTATAAAACATTAGAGGTGTCATCATATCGCTGTCCTGATCCTATTCCACCATCAGAAAGACCTTGTAATATACAATTCTGTCCCTCAAATTGGCAAACTGGTCCATGGACACAGGTAATATGTCTAACGTGGTCATTTTGTTATAGAACAAGTAATTTCCTTCAGAATGTAGCATTGTATCATTTCGTTTTCTCACGGTAGTAAAGCTATATAGAAGCGTTAACAAAAAATAGGGTTTAAATATTTATCGGTGCATGGAAAATATTGAAGCGTGTACAAGAATTTGGGTGCGTCTAAACACTGCTAAGGACTCCTTAGTGCACTAAGGACTTATAATATGCCACTAAGGACTAGAAGGCGTTCTATTACATGTAAACAAATTTCATATCATGGTAGAGATTGATATTTAATGCATAAATTCCAAATTTTATCGAAAAAGAATTACAAATAAATGAATAATTGAAAAATGTTTAGACAAGTGCCGGTTTTTCTTTGATTTTTCCGAAAATCATCGAACCGTAAGACACGTGTCAAATTACATAGCTGATTACACTATTATCCTAAATAATGAAAAATTAATTATTTTGCAAAAGAAAATAACCAGACTTTAGATATGTATACCATACAATTACTTAAGGATTTATTATTGTTTTTAATACCTTTTTTTTTTAATTAAACATCTATAGTTTAAAATCTTAAGTATACATCAGTTAATTTATTGATAAAACAGAGAAAATTGTTTAGTCTTTTTTTAAGTAAAGAGAAATGTTTGTCCCGAGACCCCCCCCCCCAAAAAAAAAAACAACCTATGATTGGTCATTACCTAAGTAGGGGCTAAAATTTGGAGAACGAGGCCTGACTGCCATAAACAACAGACGACGAACAGCAAACAGTGATACAACATTTGATTTGTATGAAAGACAACGACGGACACAAACTGATAAACTGAATAATTTCAACTACCATAAGGTGCCCTATGAATTCAGTTACATACTTAAACTCGTCTAAGGAATATATTTCTGGACTAAAACGATATCAGTATGTTTACTGTACAAACAGACAACAATCACAAAACGATGGATAAAATTGTGGCTTATATTGATTAATTCATTTTTTAAGCAAACTTTGATTGATTGATTGTTGGTTACTAAACGTCCAGTGGCAAACATTTCATGCATATTCAGGACGAGAAGTCGTTTCAGAAATAGATTATTTATTTGTGACAAAATTATATCTTTTGCTCTAAATTAACATATACGATTCTGATAATATTAAGAAAATTACAACTTAAGTCTCGGGAATTATTCGTATATGAAGGCTTTTGAGCATAGAATATCAAATTTTATTATTGTCGACATTTTTATTCCTTTTGTCTTGATAACTCTTAAATACATAAACATTTTAACAAGCTGACCACACCCTAACTTAATAGTTGACATCGTGAAAGCCATGCACCTATTGCAAATAACTTTATCGTAAGAGAAATTATACAAAAGCAAAATGATTTGTTCTTTTAATCTTTGTAAATAAGAACAAAACATTTGATTATACATATTTAGCACTATTCTTTACAATTGTTCATTACTTAAAATAAAAAGATTATGATTGTTTAATCGTTTGTTATGTAAGTTGGCTCGTGTCAATTGGTTCACTGATTTTCGGCAATATCAAAGAAAAACCGGCACGTGCCTAAACAATGTTCAATTTCTCATTTAGATTTTGTGGTTCTTTTTCTTTAAAATTTGGGATTTATGTATTAAATATCAATCTCTACAATAATATGAAAACAATGTACATGTAACAGCACCCCTTCTAGTCCTTAGTGGCAAATCCTTAACAGTGTTTAGACGTACCGCAAGAATTTTGGTCGGAAAGAATTGCTTAAAAATAATTTTTTGTTGCTTTTGAAAAACTAATCTAGAAAAGAGAAACATTTAAAGATAACCGCAACATTTGAAAAGAAAATTTTAAGCATATACATCAGACTTTCTCTATATTTCAGTGCTCTGCTACATGTGATGTTGGAGTCCAAGGACGTCCCGTTTATTGCATGAAAACCTTTGTTCGTGGAATAAAAGTGAATGTCTCAGACAGTGAATGTATGGGACTTAAGCCCCAAAATTCAAGACCATGCTCTCAGCCACCATGTTTTAAAATGCTTTCATTCTCTCCTCATATCAAACAAGACAATTCAACATTTATTCAGTTAAAGAAATCAAAAACAATTCGACTTAAAATTGGAGTTAAAGCCATTCTTTTGTCAAGACAATCTGTGAAAATAGAATGTCCAGTGGACAATTTTGATACATCACTTATATTTTGGACGAAAAATAATAGACTTGTATCAACGTCTATTTTTAATAGAGTCTATGTTACCTCTAAGGGAGCTCTTAAGATTAAAAGGACTGATGTGTCTCAAGATACTGGAATATATACTTGTATAGCAGGGATGGAAAGTGGAAATGTAGTCATAGAATTCCAAAGTAAATTGATAGCAAGACAAAAAGCAAAGAAAATAAAAAAGATTATGTCTAATAAAAGTAATAATGAAATTCTTAATATACCTCAATCAGACATTATTCCAGGAAGGGGACCACAAAATATAATCGCATTGCCACGCGATACTAAACATTCCAAAGACTCTGCTGTATATATAACAAGCGATTGGTCTAAATGTTCTAGAACCTGTGGTCATGGTTTTCAAACTAGAAAAGTAACTTGTAATGTTGTGACAGATAAATATATAAGAATAGTAGCAGACAAACAATGTCGTGAAGTAAAACCAGAAAACCACAGAGTATGCAAAGGTAACCCATATTGTCCAGTCTGGAGAGATGGTGCATGGTCAGAGGTAAAGAACTCAGTCACATGTTCTCATGTTTTTACATTTAAGGTGGTACCAAACACCTTGACTATAATTAATTTGGCTCGTTTAATTTTCATAAAATTTTGACAAAATATTTACTTTGACCCTGTGATAAAAATATTAGAATTTCAAAAAACTTGAACCACACACTTTATCGGAAAAATTTCATTGGATATATAGCAGTTTGACAAACACTAATTTTAATCATTGAAAAGCTTAATGTTTCTTTAACAATAGAACGTGATTAAAACGTTCAGCTGATTTTTACAGAGTTATCTCCCTGTAGTGTTATGTACCACCTTAAACAATTGATATAGAAAGCACAATGAGAACCAATAAAGCGAGACGTGAGTTACATGTCAATGAGACAGTTACCCAACAACACAAAAAAGACATCTAGCGGTGAACATACGACCTTCACCAGCAAGCAGTTGTCTACTCAGTATATCCAGATATTGTGAAGTATTTTGACCCACTTTCAGTAATGTTGTCTTTGTGGTATAACTACTGTTTGCAAAACTTTAAAGCTACAGATTTTGTTCATAACTACTCATTGTGATACGTCCAGGAAACATGAGTAGAATGCAACGGTATCATAAAGAATAATTTGTATATCAGACTTGGAGCGGGATTAATGTTAGAACACTTTACTTATAATACAATATTCGAAAGTGCTTCTCGGTTCGGATTTTGGATAGATTTTCTCATTTCAAATGATTCTTTTTGTATACTTTTTAAAACAAACAGATATTTTTTTCTTTGGTTTAGATAATTACGTCATTACATTAACTATGTATATGAAAGTTTTAAATAAGCACAACATAAATTTAGTCACCGAGCTGTGACCGGGAAACAATTTGAGAGAAACCGAAATTGATGGGATTAAAGTGTTTTTGATAACAAAACAAGTGCTCCAGTTTAATCTTTAAATTATCAACACCTTACACTTTGGTTATAAAACCATTTCATATAAAATCAATGGGCAAACACGCAGAAAGAAGACACCGCATATTTTTTTTTTTTTTCAATAGAGTTTAAGTCTCGAGTGTTTTCTCATGCATATATCTATATGTACTCTCTTTTTCAAATGTAGTGTTCAGTTAAAATATGCAAGTTTGATGGAATAGCAGTACAAACCAGAGAGATACACTGCAGTGTAGAAAATAACCAATCCATCACTCTCCCTCCTAATAAGTGTGACAGAAAATTTCGTCCTCAAACTCATAGACAGTGTATCAATGAAGAGTGTGAGGCTATCTGGAAAACCAGCAAATGGACATCGGTAAGACATGAATAAATGAGCATCAACAATCATATATTATATAAAACATACATATTTTGACAGCTTATTTGTTGTTATCAGGTTATGCGGTTATTTGCAGTCGGGAAATGACTCATGATAAGGAAAGATGTTATGCACAGTGGTGCAGAATTAGGGCCTAAATGTTTTAGGGAAAGAGGACCGCCAGTTCATATAGTTTGATGTAGACGCACAATGCACGATTTTAATCATATAAGGATTGTGATACAAAGTTTCAATCAGCCATGATTTTTACTGATATGAATATTAAAATGTATCAAGGATTTGTATAATTAGTCTCACTATACAAATGTATTGACTTAAACCTTATCTTTAAACTTATATCGAAAATACATCAAAGTCTACATAAAACAATTATAAATAGTGGCATACCACACAGCAAAGCAAATTATAAATATTATAATGCTCAGTCAAATTCTTTCAAAACCGAAACTATTAGCGTCTGCTTTATACGTGAGCTAAAAATAAAATGACAACGTATGTTAGATACTTAATTATTTACTCAGTAGTATTCCCCATGTTTGAAGAACAGGCAATAACATTCAATCAATAAATAAAAGATACAATGATAATGAAAATAGTGAACATTGGATCAATAATACTACATATAAAAAGACAAATTTTTTTCCACCTAGTGTAAACCAAGATGTGCCAAGAATGGTAAGAAAACAAGGATGTTATCATGTGTATGGAAACATAACAAAAAGCAAGCACAATATAATTGTAAATCAAAACCAAAACCATTACTCAGGAAAGTTTGTCGACCAAAACATTGCAAAAGGAGTAAGTATAATCAACATAGCTTTTATTTAATAAATCAGACCATTGTAATTAAAGTTTAGAAAAGTATGATATATGGTGTAAAACAAATCTGAGTATCATATATACAAAATGTAAAATTCTCAAGGATGCATGCCATAACATAAATACTCAAGAGTTCAAATAAGAATTCGGTAGTTAAAGGAGAACTTTAGGGAAACATGTACAGAAAAGCAATGGTACGAAGCTCGAAGTCGCGTCGATGAATATTTTATTAGTAAACATGTACGCTGAATCTACTGTGAATACAGCAATGTAATTTAGCCTATTTAAATCAAAATTTGGCAAACATATTTTAGAGAAAGCAACACAAATTATTTACACAAATATATTCTTGATATATTTTGTATCATCTTTCAGAAATCGGATTTTAATCTCATAAAATTGTGTATGAAAGACCATAAACTGTTATTTAAGTATGAAATATAAATAGACACAATAAACTTTTTATTTTTCAGAATGTTTTGATATGTCAAGATACTGCAGCATTACAAAACTATTGAACATGTGTAGATACAGAACATTTAGAGACCGATGTTGTGCAACATGTACTAACTCTGTTCTAACATAAGATTGTCTACAACATGAACATTCTTTTATGGAAGCTTTTAAATTTATTTGGTGCTAGAGTATCTTCAGTTGTAAAAGTAAGGAAAAAAGTATTCAAAATACTAAAATCAAAAGATATTCAAAATTACTTTTAACCAAGTCACTTTAATAAATCTATACTAAAAGACTACAATATGGACTACAATTCTGGCATGTAGGAACCATGATTCAGAAAAATTGATTGACAAAGTGTTGTATATATTGTCATTGTATTGATTGTTGTGATTGTTTTATAATACCGGTACATGATGGAAAGAATGTTTTCTAACACTTAAGAACTTTTATATGCTGTTTTCTACGAATTGTAAATCGTTCTTTTTGTCCGGTGAATGTCGAGATGGTAGAGAAAATAGGGTGCATATATAATAAACGTTTTCTACAGTTTTCAAACAATAGCTGGCAAAAGCTTTTGAACCTTTGTTTAAACATATAAATTAGACAAACCACCTAAAGGTCAATTTTGATTTAGTATTTTCAGATATTTGAGATGTTGAAACATATTCAAATTTGTAGGCGGTAAACATTTTGTGATATCATCTTCTCGTACAGTTTTCAACAAATATTACTGAAATGCTCTCTGTATGGCCTTCAAAAATATCTAGCAATCTGGTACAGATACAGAACCTGTGTCCACGCCTTGCTTACAACTAATTACAAGGATCTGACCTCATTCTGTTATTTTCCGTTTTGGTAATTATATGGTTATTGTTATGTCCTTTAAGGTAATAAAGCTCTTCAGGCGCTTGGGTCTTATTCATTTTAAGCTTTCAAATGTTTGTGTTGGAATGTTCCAAATGAAGGTAAATCAAGCAAGGCGCCTCGTACGCACGACATTAATACAGTTCATTTACTGGTTCTATTATAACCACTGCTGGTGGACTATTGGTCCCCTAAGGTATTATCAACTCAGAAGTCAGTGCTTCGGTACTTGCACGATTTTTAACGAACTTTTCTAAAATTATGCGTTGATAAATTTAGAAATTATTAAGAAACTAAGGTTCCAACTCTCTGGGCAAAGTTTAGCATATTCTATGTGAATGATCAGTTGGATAGCAATGGTCAATCAGTACGGACGCAATGCATTCATTAAGATTTTTTTTAACATTTCCCTTTATTATACGATCCGTTTATTGTAATTGGAATATTAATCGTTGTGTTTCGCTGCATTGCATCATTAAAATATTATAAAACAAAGTATCATCTACATTTTGTGTTTATTTACTTAGGTGACAAGTTTAACTTCCGAGTGTTTGGCGTAGAAACAGAAATTATCAAAGTCTTTGATCTTACACGACACTCAATGTGAGCGCTACAAAGAGACCACCAAGGTGTTTCAGGACCTGGAGTCATAAATTTCGAGTGCAATTATCGTACTCAGACTCAAAATTTTATCAATCAAAATATTGGATTTGGTGTTTCGGGCACAAAAAAAAAAACCCAACAAATATACAAATGCATGAACAAAAAACAATAAACGGGGAAAAAAATATGATAGACAATAACCAACGACAACCTTTAAATTGCAGGCTCCTTACTTGTGACAGCCACCTATTAAATGTGAAGGGTTAAACATTTTTGCTAGTACTCAACCCTACCCTAACTTGTGACAGTAGTGTAACACTATAAAAAACGGAAAAAATCAGTCGAAAAAAGCAGAAAACCCCAAAAAGCAACAAACGTTATAGACTTAAAGTACCGATCTTATAGCACTCGCATTTACTGAAAGCAAGTTCAAAGCCAATTTCAACTAAAACATAAATCATGTTTCCATGACTAAACTATCAAGCATTTCACATCCAATGGAAATAGTTGATTTATTATAAATGTAGTATCTGAGAAGGCTGACTTATCACAAAAACTTAACGTTGACTAAAGGACTAAGTAAATGAAGTCAAGATCAGATAAACACAATCAGAACTGTACACCTTATATATTCTACCATAAGAGACCTTTTTCGTTATATACATAGAATGTGAGAAATTTACCTAATTTATTTTTATCTTGTACCAATGAACCCTGTAAATAAGGTCATTGTCAGATGTCAATGTGTACACGAATTTTAGAAATTATGAAAGTGCCAAATGTAACTGTTTCTATTTAAAAACCTGAAGAATCAATTCATAAACAAAATAAAAATAAGAAGATGTGGTATGCTTGCCAATGTGACAACTGTCCAACAGAGACCAAATTACCTAAACGTTAGCAACTAGAGGTCAACGTACGGCCTTCAACAATGAGCAAAACCCATACCGCATAGTAAGCTATAAAAGGCTCCTATTGACAAATGTTAAACAATTCAAACGAAAATATGAACGGATTGATTTATATACAGAACAATTATGAACAAACAAATAAAACCTGTTCTAACTTTGAATATATAGTTTCAAAGATGGAGATTTTATAAAAAAAAACTAAACCTGAATACTGCACTATAAAAATTAAGGTTTATGGCATAAAGAATATTTCATATGGACAAGCAGGTTCGTACGCTCCACAGAGAGTCAAATTGTAAACAAGCATATCACTGCCACTACCCAGCTTAAAGCTTCTTCCGAACATTTGAAAGTCCCGACTATGTACTGGTTACCTAAATTACACAAACAACCATTTAGATTTCGTTTCATCTCCGCATCTAGTAAGTGTTCTACTACTAATCTGTCAGTGCTTCTAACTACCTCCCTTACTACTATCAAAGAACTTGTTATTAACTTTTGTAATAAGCTTATAAAAATAATGGTATTAATTATTTTTGGAGTGTTAAAAATTCTTTAGAGGTTTTAGATAAATTACGTGCTTTTGATGGTCCATTTAATTCTGTTGAAAGTTGTGATTTTTCTACTTTCTACACTACACTTCCACACAATCTTATCAAGAAAAAGTTTTCATATTTAATTAAATGGTCTTTTGAAAAATCTCGTTGCAAATTTATTTGCTGTAACTCGTTTAAAGACTTTTTCTGTAACGAAAAAGGAGAGCATGCTAGATACACTTACTAGAAATGTGAAGATATGGTTGAAGTTTTAAATTTTCTCCTGGACAACATATATGTACGTTTCGGCGATAAAAGTGTATCGACAGGTAGTAGGTATTCCTATGGGCACTGATTGCGCCCCTTTAATAGCAGATTTATTCCTGTATTGCTGTGAATCTCAGTTTATGACCAAACTCAGTAAAGACACGTCATTGCTACATTTGGTTGACACATTCAACAATACCTACCGTTATCTTGATGATATTTTTTCGTTAAATAATCCAGAGTTCTCTAAATATACTACCGAAACTTAGCCAAAGGAACTTACTTTAAATAAATCTAACATAAACAGCAGTGGTTGTCCTTTTCTAGATTTAGACATTTCAATTTCTAAAGGGAAACTCCATACTAAATTTAACGACAAAAGAGACGATTTTTCATTCCCTATTGTTAATTTTCCTTTTTTAGACGACGATGTTCCTTTGGCTCACATCGTTCGTTATGCCCGTGTGTGTAGTGATGTCATAAATTTTAACGAATGTAATGAATGCATCACTGGTAAATTATTAAGTCAGGGATTTGTTACCATAAATTACTTAAAATTTTAGTAAATTCTTTCATAGATACAAAGATTTGATTAGTAAATTTGGCTGTACCTGTAGAAAACTTATTAAAAATGGTATTTCACATCCTAAATTTTACAGCAATATTGTAAATGTTGTAATAAGATCGTTGAATATTGCTTACATTGGCACAAACATCGATTTTGTCATCAACAAATTAAAACTTAAATCGCTGGGATGTGTTTAAGTTGATTTTAGTGTCTGATGCATGATTTTTTATTATTAACTGTTTTTGGCTTTTAACTAGCTTTCAGTAACTGCGAGTATTCTCGAATTGTACTTCGTAGTTTGACCTGTTGACACAATTTGTAATACATTTGTGTTATTCAATGTTTACCTATTTAGTGTTATATCTCGTCTCACTATTTTTAATATGTAATAAGTATTTAGTATGACGATAAATTTTCACTTCTGTTCTGGAACTATGAACAACAAATTTATTAATTTTGTAAAAAAACATTTCCATACTCCTAACAACAAAATTATCTTATTTAAATACCTGTGTACGTTATTTTATTTAACGCCATTTTGTCCAAGATTATAGTTGTTATTTTTTACATTGTACATTCTATGAGGAACTTGGTGCCTTTGTATTTTTCTTCAAATGTCAATGTTCATCTATCATAAAATCTATGTATAACCAACGAAATGGTTACAATAGATGTAACCTCCCCTTTCTGTAAATGTGAAAGACTTTGATCTTGTAACCATGGATACAACAGATAACATTTATGTAACGGACCTTGACATACTTTTTCCTCAGAAGCATGCAACAACTTTTAAGTTTGGCTTGGCTTATTTATGTTGAAAATTGTTGTTGTCTTAAAATTTGTAATAATTACCTTCCTTCAGCTTCAACGAATACAAAATTTTGATTATATTATTTATATAATACACTTCTGTCACCAAGACACACCCTTGAGAGTCGACTTGTTCAGGAAAATTATTGAAAAGATACAAGTATTAATAGTGATTAATGTATAAAATTCATCTTACAAAACATAATAGATATAAGAAAATGTGGTATGAGTGAAAATGAGACAACTCTCCATCCAAGTCAAAATTTATAAAAGTAAACCATTATAGGTCAAAGTACGGTCTTCAATCTGCATGTATATTGACTTCTAAATGGCTTTTGATTTTTGTTTCCTTGGGTTGCTGTCTTACCACTAACCCTCATCTCCTTTTATTCACATCTGAAAATACAATCTTTAAGTGACAGTTAATTTTGTTCATATATTCTTAACTTTCAAAACATAGTTGTCGTGAATATAGCGCGAACTACGTTCCTATGTTAATGTACTTTTGTTTGTCTACGTCGGAACGTCAATGACGTCGGCGTGGGCGGAAGTCATTCTATATGTTATTTAATGGTAGACTTGAACGGCTGTATTTCTATATATCTCCTATCGCCACTACATTTTGGTGCCGTGACTGTCGGAAACAATTGAATCAAAATTAAAAGCAGTACGAAGAGGACACAGAGGGCAAGTTACAAAGTTATTAAAGAAATTTGATGAGATTGAACAGAATTCGGACTTAGACAAAGAAGATGTGAAACTAATATCGGATGCAATTGAACAGAAACAAATGACTTTCGTGGATTTGAATGAAAAGATACTAGATTTGACGTCGGAGGAGGATGTAGCGGAGGAAATTCAAGAGTCTGATAAGTATATGTTTAATTTAGAGTCCAAGCTTCGGAAAATTAGAAAAATATCACATTCTGATTCACTTTCTCAAAATGTCGCATCAACGTCTCTAGATCCAAATGCAAACATATTTTACGCCATCTTTCCCACAAATTCATCGCTTACCAATGCCAATGTTATACACATCAATGAAACTGAAATTAATGTACAGCCAACCCATTTTGATAATTTCCGCTCCATGCAAAATACACATCGTGACTTGCAGTCTACAAACAATTTGTACAACCAAGGATTTTCTTCGGTATCAAATATCAGTCAAAACCACAGATTACCTAAACTAGATTTACCGCACTTTGATGGGGAAATTTTACAATGTCAAACCTTTTCGGATTCCTATGAATCAACTATCAATTTTAACAGTAATTTGACCGAAATACAGAAATTTAGTTACTTGAAGGCCCAACTCCATGGTCATGCCGCCCAAACTATTGAAGGTTTTGCACTGACAAATGCCAATTACACCACTGCCGTTAATTTACACAAAGAGCGTTTTGGATCGCCTCACAAGAAAATTCATGCCTACATGAAAGCGTTAATGGAAATGCCGACTCCTAGCAACAGTTTACAAAGCCTGAGAAGTTATGGGGACAAACTTGAAGCATATGTCCGGGAACTACAGTCATTAGGTCAGACGCAAGAGATGTACGGAGCCCTGTTAGTTCCGATAGTACTTGGAAAACTTCCACCTGAAATTCGCAAAAATATTGCACGAGAACATGACAGCGACAATATTTCTTTGATTGAATTACGCAAATCGATTGTAAAAGAAATCAAAATTCTAGAAGTAGGCCAGACTACAGATTACGGAGATAATCACATGACCGCTACCTTTTTCACCGGAGCGAAGTCGAGACAACAACTTCATTATGACCATAAACAGACTAAAATG